TTTTTTTTTGCAATGAGGCATGTTTTTATACTAAAATATCTGAATCTTTAAATAAAGCTGGAAATTATGTCCCTTAATAATTAAACAAATAAGGCACCAATGTTTTGTAAGATATTTACATCTTTAAAGGACATTCGGTAGACTGATTCCCCACTGTTAGTTCAACCCCAAAACTTTTTTGTATTCAAAATTAATTATGACAATGTATATTTATATTGAAACAAACTATGTTAAAGGGAATTATATTATATAACAAAGGGCAAGGTCACCAGAGTTCAACTATGTTATTTACCGGTACTCTTTAAAATTCTTTTTACTAACTTATTATTAGTCCCTGTTCGAACAAAGTCCGAAAACAGGGACGTATAATTCGATCTCCGTCCGTGCGTACGTGCGTCCATCTGGAGTCATGTCTCAGAATCCCTTGGACTGATTCCATTCATTCTTTGCATGTGCCTCGTACTTTATCTGGGACATATGCACATGCAGTGGTTTAGCGATTCGATTCAAAATGGCCGACTGGCAGCCATCTTGTTTTTTGAAAATGTCGTATTTTTGACATGCTTTGTCAGTTTTCATTCAAATTTAGTACATCGATCATACATGTTAGGATATATGTCCCCGACTGTCCGTCCGTTCGTGCGTCAGTCTGTCAATAGTAATATTTCAGAATCCTGTGGACCGATTCCGTTCATTCTTTGCATGTGCCTAGTACCTTATGTGGGACATATGCACATGCAGTGGTTTAGCGATTCGATTCAAAATGGCCGACTGGCAGCCATCTTGTTTTTTGAAAATGTTGTATTTTGGACATGCTTTGTCAGTTGTCATTCAAACTTGGTACATAGATTATACATGTTAGGATACATGTCCATGACGATTTATTTCGCAATTGGATCAAAGATGGTCGACTGGCAAGCATCTTGTTTTTGTTTTTTTATGCGGTATCTTGAACGTGCTCTGTCAGTTTTCATTCAAATTTGGCACATACATGTACTTTATACATGTTAGGATGCATGTCCATGACAATTCGTTTCAAAATCTGGTCAAGGATGGCCGATTGACAGCCATCTGACTTTTTGGCCTTACTACTATATTTCCACAATTTATGTACCATTTTCATTCGTATTTGGCACATACATCATACATATCAGTGTGTTTCATAAGCAGATCAAAGATTGCCAAATATTTTTATT